CGAAGATTGAAACTCAGGGGACATGGTGGAGAAATTACTGTTGTAGTGCCACAAACGATGGAAAGTGTGGACTGATGAAAATCTGACGGAGAATAGTCTGACAAAATCATTGAAAGCTATCAATGAACACGTAGAAGGAGAAAATGAGAAAGAAATGTGAGCTAGGCTGAGAGATATTGCAAGAACATGTACAAGGCATCTGAAGATGCAGCATGATCTTTCAACAATTGCCAATCAATTGAGCCATGTTTACACTACAAGCCTACCCTTGGACTATATTTTTGTAGTGTAAATGCACTTCGGCCTGGCCTTAGGCCAGGAAATTTGGAACACCTGTTCTGATGGGCCCAGATATCCTGGCCTAAGCCAGGCCAAAGTGTTTTTACACTACAACAATCTAGTCCAAAGCAAGGCCTTGGCCAGGCTTGGCTTGTGGCGTAAACATGGCTATGCATGCATGGTCACCTAGTTTTCATAATGTCATACATTTATGACCCTGCAGCTGTGCATTACACAACAGAAGAATATCAAAACCTGGCCCTGACTGGAAATAAGACTTGTAACATAGACATATTAAAAAGGTGAATGCTGTTCTTAGGGTTTGTAATCCAAGTGAGTATATATATACATTTTAAGACCTGACCAGGAACGACTGCGAAAAAATGTAGCACAAGGTCCTCTGGTAGGAATTGAACCTACGGCCCTGCGGTTCCGGTGCAGCGATCTAACCAACTGAGCTACAGAGGCCAGCTGTTGAGCTGTAACCGTAAGTTCATGTATATACAGAACAGCATTAAAATATTAATAGGGAACAGCATTCAAATATTAGCATTCAAATATTAGCATTCAAATATTAGAGAACAGCATTCAAATATTAATACCACCAAGTGAAGTGCAAAAAAACAGATCATTGAGGTCCATCTTATCACAACCCGCACACCCGATCACCTATATATACATGAACTTACGGTTACAGCTCAACAGCTGGCCTCTGTATCTCAGTTGGTTAGAGCGCTGCACCGGAATCGCAGGGCCATAGGTTCAATTCCTACCAGAGGACCTTGTGCTGCATTTTTCGCAGTCGTTCCTGGTCAGGTCTTAAAATGTATATATATACTCACTTGGATTACAAACCCTAAGAACAGCATTCAAATATTAATATTAAAAAGGTCAGCCTAACCTGACCACCACAATTGCAATTACACTGACGAAAAACTACTAGGAAACATTCCCTAGTAGTCTTCGATGACTACAATTAACACTTCGGCAAATTCCACGTAAAATACCAGATCAAAAACTAGAACAGTTTGCCTGTATTTTCGCATTATAAACGGGGAAGTGGATAACAGCTTTTATATATCTTGAAACATTGTATGTATAAAAAATATTAGCACTGTAAATGGACTCACCTTAGCTTTAACCGTGTAAATACCATAAGGAATACATACAGAGTACATAATAAATTATTACATTTATCCATATATACGTATATTTAAACACATTTTACAACGACAAAAACCTCTTTGCATGAACGAATCCCTTTAAAAATATGAATTATGCAGAAATGCACTGTACGGTTGCTAAGATAACCATATTCCTTATATAGGCAACACTTCCATATAGGGAAAACCAATGATGTAGAAATATTAGGCGCCAATATTTGCAGTTCGCGCGAAGGATCGATCTGTAGCATTCTCGAAAACGTCGAGCGTATATTCGAATATTTTGGTAAATTTCAGCATGCGACATACAATCGAGGAGAAAAGAAAGATGCGCAATGGCAGTAAGAAGAGAAAGCAACATCAGAAATCGCAGTTGAAGCGCGCGGCGCTCATAGTATTAAGAATTAGAAGATGCACTTCGTGATGTCAAAGCAAAAGCTGAGTCAAGCTGGCTGGGCTGGCCAGCACGGGAGCATTGCTTCTAAATATTACAAATTTGGGGAAGAAGTGTTGACGTCAACGAAAAATTACAAACTAAGTTGGACAACAGGGCAAGCACTAATAAGGTATACTCAATTTTTAATACAAATACATTTCATCAATCCTTTTATTAATGCACCTATTGATGTTTAAGCCCCTGGGTGGGAGGGTCGGTTCCACTTTTTTGAAAATATTGACCATGTTGAATGCAGAGAATATCCACAGCTGAGATGCATTAAAGAGGCTCTACAAAATGAAGTATAAATCAAAAGTTAAGTTGGATAAAGTAAACAAGATTGATAACCAGGATAATATTTAACTCATTAGGTTTCAATGTGCTCTACTTTGTTATTTTACTCTCATTGTCTAATGCTAGATGATTTTAGTGTTCAAAGGGAAAGTGTGGGGCATTAATGGCATAACTTGGCAACAGGTTGTGGCAAGGAATTAATGAGTAACTTATTTAAATAACATGCACAACTTAATAAAATCTAATAACTTGTATAAATTATGTGAAACACAGTCCTAGTGAAAACTCTTGTGCTGTCAAGATGAATCGTCTTTCGGCAGCAGGTTGTCAAGATATTGTGTCTTTCGGCAACCAGTTGGATCTTGACTGTGTTTTTATTGGTCCGGTATTTTCTAAATATATAGCTAGCATACAAGGAATTAATAATACCTTGTTTAAATAATATAAATAACTTAATAAAATCTAATAGCGTGTATAAACTATGTGAAACACAGCCATAGTGGAACCTCTTGTGCTGTCAAGATGAATCGTCTTTTGGCAGCAGGTTGTCAAGATATTGTGTCTTTCGGCAACCAGTTGAATCTTAACTGTGTTTTTATTGGGTATTTTCTAAAGATATACTGTAGCTAACATGCAAGGAATTAATGAGTATTGAGTACACCTTGTTTAAATAATATAAATAACTTAATAAAAATATCTAATAGCTTGTATAAACTATGTGAACACAGCCATAGTGAAAATTCTTGTGCTGTCAAGATGAATCGTCTTTCGGCAGCAGGTTGTCAAGATATTGTGTCTTTCGGCAGCCAGTTCGATCTTAACTGTGTTTTAACTAATATAGAGTTATATAAATAAATTATTAATAAATTTACTATTATTAAAATGCAGTATAATCACATAGCATGAATACAACACTATTAACATTATCAAATCAATAATAATACAGTATATAAAGTTATCAAAAGTTGACTGCACTGGGCAAAAATTAATATCATGAATGGCCCAGCTAGATGGCAAAGCTACTTTAACCCATTAAGCTGCAGAGCTTCCCCATTGACAAGTGAAATCGTCATGCGTTAGACAAGTAAAAAAATAAGTAGGACACAGAGGGGCGCATTGCGGCTCAATGGATTAACTAGCTCTAGAAGTAGAACTGAAGTACGGTAGTATACATTGTCAGAATTTTTGGTTAACCCATTAAGCTGGGTGCACTGGAGCACATTAATTGCGGCTTAATGGGTTAAATATGGATATACACAGTATATATTGAATAGCTATCCAGATCCAATGGAACATGAAATAGGTTTGAATAGTACTGAAATGTAAGTAGGCTTTCGCCATTCTTAAGACCTTGAAGTCCTACATATTTTAATAAAGAGCATCACAATGAGTGAATACACCATAAGATGTAAATATTTGTACGCCGTGGATATTCGTCCGACACCGGAACTCAATGTCTGATGGCTATTCATCCGACATTCGCCACGCGCATGTTCAAACAGAAATATATCAACTTCGAAAAATGTTCAACTCACAGTGTTATATTTCGTGATGTTTTTTGTCGTAAGCGTTGATCGAAGAGTTATTCTTCCGACATCGTGTCGTATCCGTTTAACAAAACGCTATTTATCCGACCAATGTCGTAACAAAGAAAACACACGCTATTTCACCGACGGTTAGCTCTGACTTTGCTTTCTAGCCTGTCTTTAATTATTCAAATGTACTGCAAATATTAAAGGTATATATAGCAACTATATTAAACAATATTATACAGGAAACATATTTGTAGAAACGCTCATTCATTATTAATCATTATACGTCTGTATACATTGTAATTATTTGTGTTGGTGAATATAAATAGTCTAACAGCAGAATGGATTCTGCTAACCTAACAGTAATACATTATGTCCCCCCCCCAGCATTTTATATATTGATAGGTTGATTAATATATTAACCTAATAATTATTTTTCAATTCAGCACTATACACAGTTATACTGAGACAATAAATGCTGAGAACTTCCATATGGAAACAGGGCCATAGGCAATAATTTTCCCATCAGGGGCAAACAAATTTAACTAAAATGCTCTGGTAGTATTCACATTTGGAAAGAAAGATGTGTAGATATATATACTAGGTAGGTACTAGTACCAATGTGAAAATGCTGTGCTGAGTGGCCGGTTAATATAAGCAGAACTAACTCTTGATGAAGGGCCTTCGCTCGAAACGTTGAGTTTCTGCTTGTTTTTTAACCCATTGAGTCACATTGCACCATGATTCACCCTACTTTAGTATTTTACTCTGTCTAACGCCAGATGATTTTACTTGTCAAGGGGAGAGTGCTGGCACTTAATGGGTTAACTGGCCTATCTGCCCATATGTCTAGTTAACTGGCCTATCTGCCCATGTGTCTAGTTAACCCATTGAGTCGCATTGCACCCTGATGCACCCTACTTTTATTAGTATTTTACTCTGTCTAACGCCAGACGATTTTACTCGTCAAGGGGAGAGCGCTGGCGCTTAATGGGTTAAGGTAGTAATAAAACCACTCCTGAAGCACAGCAGATGTGTAGATAAACTGTCATACTTGATGTCAGAATCAGATTGATGTTTTTATACCACAAAGGCTTGATCGACCTTACTTATACAAAAAATAACAAACATTGAATATAAAAATATATTATTTTACACTGAAGGTCTTAGTGACAAATATTAACTAATTGTAAAAACCTCTACAAAACCTCTCTTGTGCTAATGGAAATGTAAAATGTTGCTAATGATCAATTCCTTGACTGTCTAGATGATCTTTATATTATATATTAAATTAATCTATTTATTTTTGCATAAACTATGACATTTCCTGCAAAACCAATATTTTGCCTTTGGTGCATTCTTCAGTGTCACACATTCAAAATGAAACCAATTTAAACAACTGTCACATGACACACAATCTTCTTCGACATCACATTTGCACACATTGCAAAGCCAAGTTGGATCTTGTCTCACTTGTGCAATTATCTGGTTAACCAATAACCAGGCATCTTTGTTGAAGTAAGGTCTGAGCCTTGACACATTCACATTTTCATCGATTAAACCAGGGTGCACCTTTTCTGGTCGGACTTCAACAGCAGTTTCGTCGATAATACCACCACTCAAAGCTGAAGTAACATCATCCTTTGACAATAACCATGACAACATAACTAAGCATATAAAAATAATAATTATTAATATTTTACAAACTAGTTTAGTTCATAGATATTTTTACTATTATAATACTGGTTTTTTTTCCCAATCTCTTACCTTTATCTTTATCAGTAGCATGCTTTTTCATAAAAGGTGTTGGCTTATCCTTTCCAGAACTCTTCTTCTCCTTCCTTTTTCTTGGTATTCCAATGACTGTTAGGTCAGCTCCTTTTGGACGTCCACGTTTGGGCATAACAGGAGGGATTTTGATCTGACTACAAGCTGCTGGAAAAGTACAACATATGTATCTTGCTGACCTTTTCTTTGTGAAAGTGGAGCACATTGTATGTGTGAAAAAGATGCAAACCTACTGTACCTTGTGGTTGAGTTGTATTCACATCAGCTAATGGGACACTCTTGTCTGGTTGGATTTCTACATTTTCTAAAAATGGAAAAAATCTGTTTAATTATATGTCCACCCACTCATTGAACTCATGGTTTTTGTTTTACCAATATTGGAGTGATGCTGTGATTCAGTAATACTTGACTGTGTTACTTGACTGTGTGACTTATCTCATTTTTTTTCTGAATTTACCAATGTTGGAGTAATTTCAGGGCAGTGGAGCCAGTTGTTAGCCAGAAATAAAAAAAAATCCTTGTTTAACTGAAATTGGGGGGAATTACTGTAATTGAATATTTATAATATAGCTCTATTAAAACTGTGTTTAAATAATTTTTTATTGTACTGTAGCTAACACCCTGTGGAACAATAGCCACAGTAGTAGAATAGATGGTTTGGAAACTCATTATTTATGTTAGTCAACCTTTATTCATAAATCTAGTCGTTCACGGTCACATGCCTATTGTATTTTTGCCCAACTAACCAATAGTGGATTTGGCAACACCAAAAATAGATAATGAGATTCTAATGAGTTTCCAAACCATCTATTCTATTAACTATGCAACAACATACCCTCATTGTCGTCCTGCACAACTCTTTGCACAGCAATTTCTTCGCCATTTCTCCATGCTGCCAATATCATTTCCAAAATAGCATTCTTTTGGTGGAATTCTCGAATAGGAAATTCTGATGCACATGTTGCCAAAGCTTGGCATGTTGCAAAGGTTTTCCTGTACTTCTCATGCTGTGACATGATATTTTTTGTTGCCGGTTGCTGAACACATATTGGAGCCATTTCCTCTGGAGTTGAACTAAACTCATGTCCCTGGCTCTTGAGGACATGATGTTTAGACTTGTAGTAAGCCACTGTCCATCTTGTAGCACAGATAGACAAATCAAAAGCATCCTTCTTCAATATACTGCGAACTGCAAAGATGTGCCGGCAAGGGAGCATCATTGCTGTGAAGAATGCACAGTCACAATGACAGTCTGAAACAGTTAATTTGCCGGATGATGCATCAACTTCAAAATCATCAGTGATTCCCAACTCCTTTCTGTGCACGTTTTTAACTTTAGTAGCCAATTGTAGCTGTTGAACAACATAGCCAAATGCATAAGGGGTCAAAAGTGTCATGTATCGGGCTTCCGCTGTACCTTCAGCATACAGACAAACAGGTCGTTTTTGCAAAAATGTTATTGCCCTGTGGTCACGTGTGGTCCTGATGGACTGAAACACCACTAAAAGTTCCTCGTAAAATTGGTCAAGGCCAGTATTCCTGGTACACACTGTCTTGATCTTTTGATTCAGGGATTCTAATCTAAAGAGATTTTTAACTTCAAGGAAAGAACCATTACAGTATACTAGCTAAGTAAAAGTCACTGTTAGGCAAAAAAAAAACCCTGAAAAAAATAGGGTCGTTGGGAACTGGAACCACAAGTATTTTTTTGTTAAGCGTTAGCCAGATTTGTCCAAAGGGTGCTAAAAGGACAAAAGCCCCCCTCCCTCCCGCTAGGAAAGGGCAGTTACTTACCTGTTGTTAGTTCGGTTAAGGAATGTCAAGTTTGCTGACTTGAGACCCTCAACCCACTCCCGGTGGTCTTCATGCCAGTTACTTTTGAAGTATTCCAAGACACTGGGGACACTCGCTTTCTCTAAATCAGCGTACAAGCTTTGGTACTCTTCCTCATTCTTGGCATATGACATCTTTTGGAATATTTCCAAACACAGGTTCCGTTCTTCCGGGGTTATGCCCATTTTATCTGTTGTTACCTCCCTTCTGAAAGATCTCTGTGAATGGAAGAGGCATATGGACAAATGGACATTAGGAAACTCCTCTTTGAAGACTTGTCTTTCAACAAAATCTTTGTCAGTCATGACTGTTTTAGTCTCTGTCCATGTGGGATTATGATTTTTAAAGATCTGGACCATTTTCTGAATGGTTGGCTTTTCTTCATTGGAGACAATGAATGTGCAGAAGATCTCGCTTTCTCCGTTACCGTCTTCCCCAAGCATTATATACAGAGGCATTTTGAGTTCGTTCAGTTTGTATGTGGCATCGATAAACAGCATCTCTGGAAACGAATCATATGCAATCTTCATTGGTTTATCTTGATAATATATACCCAACAGGTTGTTCTCTTCATCCACGACAACTTCTGCAGTAGCACCTAAAAAGAAAGTTCTTAATTAATTACAGAATGTCTGCACATGACTTCACAGCCGCCATGTTGGTGTTCCAATTCAAAATAATTTTAATCCATTAAGCGCCAGCGCTCTCCCCTTGACGAGTAAAATCGTCTGGCGTTAGACAGAGTAAAATACTAAAGTAGGGTGCATCAGGGTGCAATGCGACTCAATGGGTTAATTAGACTTTTCTGGAACACCAATTAACATGGCTGCCATGGCTTTTGTTGAGTTGGTCCCTGTGGAATGAGTGCAAACGGCAACACTCAAATAATCTTCAATGCTATTCACCATCTATCATTCATTTCCATTCATTTTATATACAAATAGAATGATTGATAACACTGCCTCATTCTGAACAGACAAACAGATAACATCTGTCTCATTCTGAATAGACAAACAGATATTCTTACTTCTTAACCTGCAATTTAACTGTAGATATATAAAAGCTGTACTGCAAAGTGCAAACCATCACAGGCCTATGTTTAGCACATATAGCTGTACATAGATTCTCTAGGGTACCAGTATGTAACATTGGTGCATATCTACTGTAAGAAATTCATTAACTTAATAATACCAATGTAGGGTACACAACACAAAATACTTAATGCCTATAGAAGTCTTAATTAATTGCAGAGGTGTAACTTAATACTTGCCTGGGGTAAGTGGATATCATGACGGGCAAGTGAACATTTTATCTTGCCTGCCCGATTGGGCAAGTTGCCTTGCCAAAAAAAACCTGGGCATCTTTAAGTTAATGTTTTAATAGTTCATGTACTTGATTTCAAATTTTGTTTTTTGTGGGCCAACGCTAGATCTAATGCAGTATAACACTGTAGCCATATAGAGCAATGGGAGAGCGGGTTGACCGGGGGGGGAGGGGGTGAGTGATTACGAAAAATTCCTATTAGATAGCATATTTCCCACAAAATTTCCCACAATATTGCCTGACTATGAAGCGAATATTGCCCGACTGGCTTTGTTTGCCCAACAAACTGGGGGGCTGCCGCCCCCTCCCCCCGCCCGGTACGCCCATGTAGCAATATACATGAAAAAATAAATTTGTTATCACATGAATATTGTGCTTCAGTGGTGTGTCTCTTGCAAAATTGTTTGTCAACAGTGCAGGCTCTCATTTCACCTTGAGAGCCTGCTGGCAAGCTACAGTAGATCAAAGCATACCTTCATTCTCCCGAAGCTTCTTCACAAGCTTTTCAATGTCATTTCGATTAGACTTGCTAGACGACAATTTTGCTTTCATGTTTGATATGTCACGACACGTCACTACTTTCCCACTTATCGTTTGCAAATGATTCTGCAAAACTTTTTTGTTGCACTTCATCTTCAACAATTTGTCCGTCTCGCTCAATGTTTCATTACCTAGTCTTCTTTGCTTTGGGAAGTGCTTAAACGATACCTTAAAATAATAGAGATCTATTACCTGGGGCATTTGACTTGAATTTTTTTTTCAATTTTCTCATAATACTTCTCTACCTACAGTATCTAAGACCATGGTGGCCTATTTATTTTACCCCACACACATCACCCAGTAATGTCATGTTTGTTGCTGATCACATGGTATCCGGTCGTTTCACCCCCAAGTCGATTCAAAGTCATTCGATACCAAAGTTATTCCGCCTCCAAGTCATTAGATGTGAAAGTTGTCCACCCCCTCCCCCCAAAAAAAACCCCAACTTATCAAATAAAGCAATAAACATTTTTATCCATACTCCACCCCCTTCGGATGTCTTAACACACTTACTATTATCAGGATGCAGTGACCAATGTGCTAATTATTTTTTTTACAATAGAGAAATGACACAATTCCCTGGGCTGTGATTATCAGGGGACAAAACTACTTTGACATCTTATTACTTGGGGGCACAAAATGGCTTTAGGCGAATCAACTTGGGGCAAATCAATTTGGGAACAAATTGACTTGGGGGCTTAAAAGACTTGTATTCAGTCACATTGCTATTCACCCTAGCAATTGAGCTAGGGCTGCTAGGCCTATAAATGTCACAATTTGACAATGAAAAGCTGAAAATTGCATTGGATTATCAACAACAAATAACAGCAAATTTCAGTATAAACCAAATTAAATCTAGACACAACATACCTCGTCGCATTCGTGATTATGGGTCTCATTGAGGACAGCCACTTCCAGAAAGTTACCATCTTTTGTTGCTCTCAACTTCACTTCCATATTGCAATCCTTTCTAAACGTGCTATCAACAAACGATCAAAAATCCTTAGACAAAGGTAACAACTTTACATTGAGAATTTTAAAGAAAAAACTAACCTTTGATTCGGCCTTGTTCCTTTTGACTTCGATTTTAACGTTCTGCCACCAGCAACGCAAGCGTAATTGATGTGGGAGTACTGCAACTCAGCTTTGATAACCTTGCTTGGCGTTCTTTTAATTGTCGAAGAAATCGTTCTGGAGTCATTTACATACAAATTGACATAATTCTTCTTTTCATAGCGACTGATCGCAGCTTTGACCTCTTCAAAAGAGGAAAATATTTGCCCTAATTTCAACGATGTGTCGTCCGCCATATTTACCATATCGCACGTGTTTGAAATCGTGAATATGTTTGAATCGCGCGTCGAATCCAATCCCGCGTGTAACTGTGCGCAAAAGCAAACTGCGCATCATGTCGGATGAATAGCCATCAGACATTGAGTTCCTGTGTCGGACGAATATCCACGGCGTTTTTTAAAAGCTTCCATCCTGATAGCATTCGATTCAAAACTGCCCAATGTATGTAGCTTGTGATATGTAACTTTATACCGTCAAGTCGACCAGTATCGAACTTTATTGTTGATCATTTGTATTGCGCAATCAAAATAGGGCCACCGTGGCAGACCGTGGCGCACATGACCACAACTTGCCCTGTGATTGGTTTGCAACGCTGCACCGTGGCAGAAAGTTACTATATTTAGTAACAATTGCGCAATTTTTTGCACGCTGACCGTGGCATTTTGTGGCGGTGATCGCAGCTTCGAATTTACGACTGTTTTCCGAACATATTCGGCACAATTCGGCACGCTTTCGGCGGTTTTTATAGTTCAGTGTTTAACTGGATAATTATACTATTGAACAAGGAATATATTTCGGAAGTTTTTCCTGCTTTTAGCACATATTACTGTAATATGAGAACAACTACGAAAGATATTATTCAAATTGTTTGCTATAGACCTATATTTGCTCAATTTTGCTGTATTTCAAATAACTAATATATACTTCTTAAAAATGCGTAATGCAGTCTAATGCAGTATCCGACAAAGGTGAACCCCGGAAAATCCTAGGTGGAAAAAATCTGACCGTGGCTCGAGCCACTTTTGCCACGGTCTGGATCCGCGCCTGGAGACGACATATGGTTGTTGGTGACAAAAAGTTTGGTGTGGTATCGTATGTAGTAGTAAGGGGGTCTGGGGGTATTCTCCCCCAGAAAATTTTTTGTATTTTTCCACCCCTAGAACTGAAACGTGAGCATTTTCTGAAACAGATTTTTGGATATACAGCGTTACATTGTGCGTTGATAGACCGAATCTGATCAGTTAAGTGTACTTGCATGGTATGTTTATGTAAATACCACAACTGGGTCACTCAGGGGGTAGAAAGCTTGTTAAACTTAGTGGGCCCAACTCCCACGATCGCGAGGCGCTACCATGGTTGGCGCTGAGCAGTAATTTTGAAAATTTTGAGTCTCTAGATCGTTGGAAATAGCATTTTCAGAGTCTTCTTTTTTGCTATTTGTGATTATAGAAATCAGAACTCTAGACATGGTATTTAAGTTCAAAAACTTTTATGACCCCCCCTTTCTCTGTGTTAAAACTTTTTTAACCCCCCCCTATTTATAAGGGTAAAACTTCGTTTGCCCCCCTCCCATTTCCCAACCCCCCTCCCCATAAATAATGACCACTCCCTAAATATGACTGAGTGTTACTCGGTGCTCACAATCTTATTTATTTTCTAAATCTTTCCCTGTCAATTTTATTAGTCCAGGTTCGTTGTTTATTATTTCTTTTGCATTTAATTCAGGCTCTACGCTGACTGGAACTTCATTACGCACTCGGTTTTTGTACCAACCAATTTCGTGTTCAAACACTCGTGTTACGTTGTTGATCATGCACGCCTTTATCACGAACGCCTTTTCGCCAATTCAGTATATTTGTGCAATCATCGTGATCAGTTTACCAAAAAAAAACAAAGGAGAAGGAAATAGCTTAGTAGATTTTAGGAGGTATTGTTATGCAACAGCATTAATGGCGTGACGTTTGCAATCTAATTATAATAACTTGCGCATACGACGCGCGCATACCAAGAGAAAGGGAGTTTTTTAATGTCTTATCTATTTAGCATTAACAGCTTTAAATTTCCACAACACACTGTCCATTCTCACTCAAGTAAATTTAAATATGCTATCCAACAGCATTAAGACGCAAATCGGAACAAGACCAACAGATTACCTGACTCAGACTGAGTAGTTTTCTCTTTATCAAAACATCACTTCTCTCCAAAATGTCCAGAAACGTAGCCATGCAGGATTTTTGGTCAGGGGGGCGCAGCAAAAACGTAGGTGGGCTATGTTTCACTTCTTTTTATAGAATAAATTTTCTCAGGGGCACCAAAATTTTACCAGGGGAGGGGGTCCCCCGAGTCCCAACATGGCTACGCTAAAGGCGTACATGAACAACGAAATACGAGTGTTCGAAGATTGGTTGGTACAAAAACAGAGTCGTAATGAGGTTCCAGTCAGCGTAACTCAGAATTGGTACGTTGGCCCTTGAGGCAAAGAGTTAACCTCCGTTCTTTGGCTTAATAATGGATTAGACGCAAAGCCAATAAACAACCATTACCCGGACTAATAAAATTAATTGACGGGAAAAGATTTAGAGAATAAATAAGATTGTGAATACCGAGTAATACTTAGTTTATGGTATATAGTCATTTCTTTGTTTAGCACCACTTCTTCCCCACCCCCGGCCCTCTCCTGTAAGCAATTAATGTATAAAATCGTGGAGTAAAATTGTATTTGAAACTTGAAAGATAATTATGATATTTTACGGAAAATCACAGTACTCGATGTTGCATATTTAAAGAGAATAAAACGTGCAAACAGATTCTTTGTGTATATTAGAAATACCTCCCTCCTTCCCCCCCCCCCAAAAAAAAATAAATGATAAATTACGGTATGAGTTCTAGAACGTTTACAGGACCGTACGCAGAATGTTTTCATCAGCTGGGGGCAGTAAGGCCTATATGCCGAAAAACGTCACAAATATCCAATGAATAATTAATAATGATATTGCCTCCCCCTGCTGTGTACAGCCTTGAATGTTTAGGATTGTGATAATATTTAAAGCCTGAAAAACAAATTTGCTTGCAAACGTTATTTAATTGCTGTAGAATAAAATAACATCATATTTTAATTAATATTTTAAATAAGTTATTATTGTAATGTTGGCTTGGAAGTGTTCCTGGCGAAGGCTCGATACGGTACATTGCTCGGAATGTTTGGTAAACACACACGTTGCTCAGAATGTTTGGTAAAATGCACAGAACATAAAAATATCATATATATTTTTAAAATATTCCGATGTCATCTTGTTTTACTTCAGCCCTGTTTTCGCACATTTCATAATTTTTTCTTGTCAGTCCTAGATTGAGATCAGTTTTTCTTATCTGCGCGTGCGCATTACGTGTTTTGCGCTCAAGCGCATGCGTATTTGCAACACAACAATGGCGGTTCCAACCTCGTACCCAGGGCTAGTCGCGAATTGAAGGCGGCGACGTAGCCCTGGTAAACGCTGGTCACGTGTCAGGCAAATACTCCAAGATTCTTGCAGGCTGCTCCATTTACTGTTCGGAGTACTCCGGATTTTCGGAACACTAATCGAATTGAACCGAAAACGGTCACATGACTGTTCTGACTGCCCCTACTCAAAAGTAGGGGGAGCTCGAACAGTCATGTGACCGTCAGAACAGTCATGTGACCATTATTGGTTCGATTTAATTAGTGTTCCGAAAATCCGGAGTACTCCGAACAGTAAATGTGAGCAGCCTGTTGGAGTATTAGCCTGCGAGCGGGCTTTGTGGAAATAAAGACAGGGGGGCGACGAAAAGTTCACGAATGGAACTTGAATTGCCGCGGATTATTTATATTCTTTTATTTTTTGTTGTAATCTTTCTTCTTAATATGCTACGTTTATATATTACGTCGAATGCACATCAATCTTCTTTTATATCGCATCATGTAAATCGCCGAGGAGGCGATGTTTCGAATTTCGAGGCAGTGAAAATGGAGCCAATCTCGTACATACTATTTGTGATGATTTCCATCAAGTATGAAAAGGTACAGTATATAGGAATTTGAAAATGTTTAGAAGTATTTCATTGTTACAAATTATTTAGCAGATTCCCATTATTTGTTACACCACTGTCTAGCTCTATGACATATATATTTCGAAGGCTATTTACTGTAATATATTTTATACAGTATGTTAATATAGTTAGCTGAATTTTGAGAAACACATGGCCAGACTATACTTACTCGGACTCTCAGTAAAGTTCTACTCTCACATGATTATTATTTACAATATTGATTTATCGCTGTGAGAAACGTGTTTACACTTTAATACAATATTATTAAACTACATTTTACAGCAGTATTAACTTCAAATACTTTGTATTTACATTTACAGTAATGACCTGAAATTATTTAAATGAGCCATTTCATACTGTAACAACAGAGTGGCCAGGTTGACAAAGCTAAAATCTGATGAACCTAACCTGCTAGGATATTTCAATAGTCAAACATCAGTTTCAGCACTCCAGCTGGTCAGGGATTTTTTAGGGAAAAGTTTTAGCACCCCATTGTAATTAAAACCTGCCCCCGAATCTCAAAATTTCATTGTTTTGTTCCCTTGCCACTACAATCTATATTTATACCTTTTGTGCCCTTGAGATCTTTAAAAAAATTGCCTAACTCTGCAGTATGGCGTGTAACCTTGTTGCCATATTTATTCTCTGACCTCAGGCTTCAATAAATTTCTACTCTAATACCTGACAGAGATGGGGGCCATATGTATGAACAATAAGAAATGATTTCTTCATCTATTATTGACCCCTTACCTTTCACCCAATTTTAAAATTAAATTTACTGAATGATTTTGAAGTTTTCTAGATTGTTGAAAAGAACTTTATGGGTACAAGAAATGGGGCAAAAACAGTTGAATTAAGCAAGATGCAAGTAACAATGAACAAGACCGGGTCACTGGATGGTATTTCAGCACACTGGTGGACATGCAACCTAATACCTGCAACCTGTGTCACATTTATATATATAGTTTTACACTCTACTGGAAAAATAATGTCAAGGAACTTGTAGAGATTCAGAATGCACACTTCATGGTTTATTCAATCAACAGCATGCATGAATCATTTTATGTTATGAATATTTTTTTAAAATTATTCTCACTTTATAGATAAAATTATATTTTGATTAAACAAATATAATAATATATCAGCAAATAATGACTGGTCTCTCTGAAATCCATATAGAAAGGTTCAAATTTGACTTCCACTACCACTACTTGATCTGGCAATTGCATCTGATTGTTACAATCAGATTACAATGATTGGATAAATGAAATTTATCTGGTTAGTTAATGGTAGCAATAGCAGCAGTGGAAGTCAAATCTGATCTCTCTATTATTTTTTGAAGATTTGCTCTAGTCACATCAATTCAGGGTTGCCCATGCAACTTGGTAGCACAGCTAGCTCTTCAAGTTGGAGGTCCAATTCTTAGGATTCTGCAAATTAATTCTAGAAAACTGGCTTTGGTTTGGGCTAAGCAAAAATCATCACACTGTTTATCATGCTGATTTGGTTGTTTAACAGTTAAAGTCCAGGTTGCATGTTTTTTTGTCCTGCATATGGCAGATGGGACAGTCTGGTTTTCAAGTGTTTATGTGGGGAATTAATATTAATCAGGACTGGCTTCTGAGTGAAGTTCTTGCCTGCTTTATGTGAGAGCAGGCTCTATGCAAGATTCCAATTGCTACACAGCATGATCTCAGTGCTCTTCCTCTGAAACAATGCTTGGTTGCGATATCATCCAGCAAGTACAAAAATGTACTACCACGGTCAAGGATCATTTGGCATGTTCATCGACTATGTTAACCCATTGAGTGGTGCCATGCACTGTCCCCTGACAAGTAAAATTGTCTGGTGTTAGACAGAGTAAACTAACAAAGTAGGGCACATCTGGATGCATTGGGCCATTCCATTTAATGTATACACCCCCCTATGGACGAGTTCAATAAAATTTGAACCCCTAAGAAAAAAAGATCAAAGTGCTGAAACCCCCCCCAAAAAAATTTTTGCCTTATCCCTCAGAAAAAGTGCAAAGATCAAAGGATGCCGATGCACACAACCCCTCAGAAACGACTTTTTCAACCCCCTCAGAAATTCTAGTCCACGGGGGGGGGGGAGGGTGTATATTAAATGGATGGCCCATTGCCACTTAAAGGGTTAAAAACGTAAATACCACAGCACAACACTTGTACATATACATATACAAATAATAGAACAGCAATCCTTTTATATATTTAATAGTCATATTTACATATTGGTGAAATATCAATGTCCATATTATATATTAGGGATGTCCGTTGAACTTGTCCCTAGTTTGAAGCTAATGTATTCATATCTTTTGTATATGTCGTCCCTCTACAAACCAACTTTTAGTTATTATACAAGAGTTGAATTTGCATTCATTTGCTTCGCAATTCGCAACAAACTGAACAAAGTACTATTCCATAAACCTGTGCAATGATCGAGCGTCTTTGGCGACATATCCGTGTCTTTTAAACGTCTCATACGAACAAATCTCACTGAGTTTTTTCTACAGAAAGTATTGATCCATTTGATCGATCGCCGTACTTTGAGAGAAGCTTCAAGTGCAAAATTCACAAAGAAGATTGAAGAATTTTGGAGATAAAAACTGTTTGTTACTTTGTTTTCGAATTTCACCTATTCACCCCCCGGTTGAAAAAAGTAACAATTACGTAATGTTGGAGTCACGTGACCAGCGTTTACCAGGGCTATGCACTGAGCGCCGCCTTCAATTCGCGACTAGCCCTGGGTACGAGGTTGTGTATGGCAAGCCATTTGTAGCAATATTCAACCAATTGAATTTCAACCTTTAATGATCAATAAAATTCAACATTCAACAACGCATTCAACAAAAAACATTCGACGTTCAACAAACAAATTCAACGTTCAACAAAAAAATTCAACGTTCAACAAAAAAACATTCAACGTTCAACAAAAAAATTCAACGTTCAACAAAAACATTCAACGTTCAACAAAAAAACATTCAACGTTCAACAAAAAAACATTCAACGTTCAACAAAAAACATTCAACAAAACAACATTCAACGTTCAACAAAAAAACATTCAACGTTCAACAAAAAAACATTCAACGTTCAACAAAAAAACATGCAACGTTCAACAAAAAAACATTCAACGTTCAACAAAAAACATTCAACGTTCAACAAAAAACATTCAACGTTCCGTCTAGCTCGTCCCCAGGCTACAATTACCATACTTACCCTCGGCGAGTGCAACATGGCTGCTTTAACTGAAATCGAAATTCCTAGGAATGAATATGGCGATTTTGAGGCAGAGATTGATAATTTCAGCGTGGAAGAAGAATTGCCTTTATTTTTAAATTCAGTTCTCGACCGGGCAGATGCTGTAATAAATGCTAACAGCAGACATATAAATGAAGTAGAGGCATGTCTGACTGTTGTTGATCGAACCATAAGCCTTTTAGGATTGATACGCCAAGAGGTTGACGAGGATGACAGGCAGGAATGGTACGCAATTGAAAGCTGCTTTACATTTATATTACAAAACTTACATAGCCATATGTCGGAACTTGCTCGTAGACCAACAACACTGACTATGCAAAGCTGTAATGTTGAGCATACTAGAAGACCTGGAAGACCTGCATTTCATGTACAACCTGAAATGTTAGAAAAGCTTTTGGGTTTAGGCTTCAGTAAAGAAAAAATTGCAAAGATGTATGGCGTTTCACGATGGACAATATATAGACGAATTCAAGAGTACAACCTGCTTCATTTAAGTGAATTTAGCAATTTATCTGATGCAGAAATTGACGAAGTACTAAGAGATTACACAAGTCGTCATGGAAGAACAACCGGGGAAGTGTTGATAATGGGGTACCTTCGCTCCCGTGGTATACATTTGCAAAGAAGAAGAGTTCGCAATAGTATGGCCAGAATTGATCCAGAAAATGCTGCATTAAGATGGGGAGCTGCAGTTTATCGTAGACGGTATCAAGTTCCGTGGGCCAACTCACTGTGGCATCTTGACGGACACCATTCTTTGATAAGATGGGGGTTAGTCATACATGGATGCATTGATGGCTTCTCAAGAAGAAGAATTTATCTTCATTGCAGCTCAAACAATCTAGCTAGCACAGTATTAACCCTGTTTCTTGATGCTATTGAGAAAGATGGAGAACTGTGGCCATCCCGTATTCGAGTAGACCACGGGGTAGAAAATGTATTGGTGTGTGAAGCTATGGTGGAAGCCCGGGGAGAAGGTCGAGCCAGTTTCATTGCTGGACCATCGACCCATAATCAGAGAATTGAGAGACTTTGGAGAGATGTATTCCGTACAGTTAGCCACTACTTCTATTATGTATTTTATGCGATGGAAGATTCTGGAATCCTTAATACTACAAATCCACTTCATGTGTTTGCATTACATATTGTTTTTCTGCCAAGAATCAATCTAGCTCTCCAGGAGTTTGTGGAAGCATATAATCAACACAAAGTTCGTACAATGCATAATTGGTCGCCTTACCAAGTATGGATAAATAGCATATTAAATGCAGATAACCCATTGCTACCTGGACAACCTGACCCACTCCCTGAAAATGCGGAGTTTTATGGGTTTGATCCACATGGACCGAACCCATTTGATGAAAGTGATAATGATGTTGTTGTCCACCCAATAAACATTGAAAATGCAACTGATATACAGTCAGAAATCTTGCAGGTTGTAAACCCTTTGGCACCTTCAAATGAAATGGGAATTGACATTTATGAAGAAGTTTTAAATTTACTACAAATACAATAGACGGGACATAGATGGTATGCCCTGCTTTCTATGTGTTTAATTGAACTCAGTGGTTCACTTATATAAAATGCTCTGCCAAAATAGAACCTCAGGCTCAGCCAAGTTAAAATGTTAGACAATGAACTAAACAGCAAATAGTTCTGGAGTCTGGACATACAGTAGACCCCAAGAAAAAGTTAATGAAAAACCTGCACTACTGGTGAATAATAGACACAAAATCTTCTCCTTCCATTGAACAATGTCAGTCGAAACTTGGTGAAGTAAAAATGCACCATAGCAATACACAAAGTTACTCATTTAACTCATTTTAACTAAACATTGTACATGGAGGGGGAAAATTGTACGTTATAGTATGTTTATGCAAGGTGTTTCACGAGCTTTTGTTGGGATTGCAGTTTACACTATGATTAGTAAATATTATTTTAAATCCTTGTATACCATTCCAGCTGAGATGGTTATCAAACTCAGGTTATGTTTAACTATAAACTGATCTGACAACAAAACTAAATAAATGTAAATATTAAGTTACTTAAACAGTTTACTTCAAAAGAGTTCAATAGGTTACTCCAACAAAACAGCGAATGAAGTATTATAATGTGTTTAGTTTAGCGGTTCCCAAAATAAGCATTACAAAACGCCATATCATACACTTCGAAAAGTTCAACTTCGACAGGAAGTGCTACACTATGATCAGGGCAAGGCAAATGTAGTGTATTACCACAAGTGTTTGCTGTAGGAATAAATGACCATTTACTTGATGACTTGGATGACACAAGAGAACAGGTTCTTCATCAGTTGCGGTTGTGAACTGTAATATATGCTCTAGGGTAATATTGCCTCTTTTACCACCAGCAGCTTCTCTGCAGTACTTGGAAAATGCCGCATAGACTATATTCTCATGCTGTCGCTGATTACATCCATCTTCAGAAAAGTTGGGCTTAAGAATGTGCACAAGTTTTCTTCTTGTTAGCAATGAAGCTGAAGAGGGTCGAAAAAGATATAAAAAGGTTGGCAGATGTTTGGCAATGTCACATAAACCCAGGTTGTTAAGACCTTGCGTGAGGTTAGTCAGGCTGCTGGAGGTGGTGCCATTCAGAAAAACTGTTTCCAGTTGGTCTTCGCTAAGGAACCTTGGCATTTTTCCGTTTTGCAATATACTGAGAGCCATAATCAAACCAACAACTTTATAGTCCTCTGACAGATGTTCTTTTATACCATTGTCAAAGTATTTCTGCTTTTTTTCTTGTAAACATAACCGAAAAAACTCTTTTCTAGGACCGCCAGCATCTTGTGCATTTTCGCCATAGAAGGATACCTCAAGGGATAGCTGAACATCTTCAATGCACGACATTTCTTCCAAAGCTGTTCCAAGCACATCATGTCGACTTATGAGAATGAAACTTGATCTATCATCACTGAACTCACCAGCAGCACCAGTGTAACCATTTAGTGGCTTACCCTTCACAATGAATTTCTGGGCGCATCGTAATATCTCAACTGGGTCTGATATATCTTGTTCCTTGCAGTATGCGAGACATTCATCTATAGCTTGAGAAACTGTATCTTTGGCAGTGAGTGTTGATGCAAGCTTCTCCGGCATGGTCGAAGAGCAACCTGTATCTCCAGGCTGTTGGAAGTTGGTTGAAGGTTGCTGTTGTTGGCTGGGATTGCTTTCTAGTGGCGGTGGCTGGTTGATCTGGATTGACATGGAGCATTCTATCATTCTATTGCTACTTTCACTTCCAACATTTTCATCTTCAGCAGAAACAGCATGTGTTTGTGGTTCAGCAATTTCTGGTTGTGTTAGAGGGACAGCTTGTGTCAGGGGGTCTTTGCTTTTGGCAACTTCACTTGATCGTTCTATACATAAAATTGAGAAAACTTCCTTACTCCCAATAAAGCAATTTTCAAATTTCATGTATATATATTAGATATTGCTCTATGGCCTTATATTATCACACCATATATAATATATATATATACATAAATAATATATATTTTGGCCTCTGTTAGGAAATACAGAAGAAAATCCAATTTGGAAGAAAATTGTGTAATTTGCTACGAAATTTTTTTTTCAACTTTTAATACCATTTACTTTAAGTGATATTATTTACTTTTCAATTGCTGATGAGCCGATCAATTTTTCTTCATTCTTTGTTTTTCTTTTCATAATTTTTCATAATTGTCTCTGTGCAGGAGTGTGGCCAGGGGGTTCTAATGGTCGATTAGATAGAACAAAGCCAAATTTTCCGTACACACTCACCCCAGCAACATTATCACATATTTATGTTTAAAGGCACGAAATCCATGCAAATTTAGGAAAATTGACTAATACATAATTGCACATGCCAGGAAATTTGGAAGGAAAATTTGTAATGTTTGGAAGGAAATTTTATAAACTAAGGATAGAAAGGAAATTTAGTGTTGGGCAAGTGGAAGCAGTGGAACAATCAGCTACTAGCTATAATATTTTATGTGAAAATAAAGGTGTTGTAGATGGAAATTATCGAGTGGAAATTTATATATTTAATTCAGTGGATATTCGATCAACTGAGATGTCAACAAAATCTTGATATTTACCAATAACCTACAGGAGCGGCGGAAAGTCAATAATTGGGGGGGGGGCTGATATTCATATATTCGTGTTCACCGACTGTAAAAACAATCACTTTCAAAGGAAATAAATGATCAGAACATGAATATATGAATATCAGCCCCCCCCCCCAATTATCGACTTTCCGCCGCCCCTGATAACCTATACATGGCGATATCCTAGTACTGTATACAGCTATTTCAATTAAAGATGTCCCGGAGCAAAGCAAAAAAGTCGAATACAGGCGCAAAAGGCTGCTGGTAATCGCTAAAAAATTCTTTAATCCACCTATTAGCTGTATACAGCTTTTAATTGAAATAGCTGTATACAGCTAATAGGTGGATTCAAATTGGTTCATTTACATACCGGTATATCAAAAAGTTATGCGTACACACATGCATACAGCCGCTGTATTATGCACCTACCAATGTAAATTCTGAGTGGGGGCAACGGGTGGAGATTTGAAAAAACTTGAAATTTTGAGTAAAATTTACTTGGTTGGGGAGACCAATATCAATCGAATGTATAAAAAATTCCCCACATTCTTCACACTGAAAAACAATTGATACAATATTATAGCCCAAACAACTATTTATTGGGTTTAATGCTTCACTGCTTCTTGTAGGATCTTCAGAAATGTCAGTCAAATGTCCAGGGATGCCGAGAGGGGTGGGAGGGCAAATTGCCCTTGGGCCTTGGCCCCCACCTTGATAGGGCCCTAACTTGAGAGCACGAGACTAAAATTGAGTAAGTTCTTTAATTTTTGAAATTGAGGGCCCCTTACAGTAGCTCCACATGCAGTCTAGCTAAGATCTAGTTGGGTTACTGACTTGGGTCTAGCTTAAAAATGATGTCATGGGGGCCCCAGAGAAGAGTCTCACGAGTTTTCTCTGCAGCCCTGCAAATGTCCCACCCCCCGGGATAACATTGATGTTTAAATTCCCTATGGAAGGGATAAGCACTCCAGTCAAATGCCCAGCCTTTACCCCCACCCCCGGAGTTTACATTGATAGGTGCATTATATTTAGAGGGCTGCCTATTAATCTTGCTGTATACTATACCATTCTCAAAATCAAATTCATCTTCAATTTTGTCCTCAACAAGAAGACAGTCAAATCCTCCTTTCATCTTCAAGTAAATACACCCTTGTCCGGCAAGCAACTTGATTTGCTGGTAGTTGTATTCGCCGACAGTAACTTGTTATTCTGCGACGATTGGCTCGCACGAACTCTGTATCAGAGTCATCAGACACCATAGGAAATTTTATTCTAATTGCCTCCCCAAGTTTTTCACGAATGTCCTTCTCAGTAGCAGCTTTTGTGACCTCAATGAAACCACGAAGCGCCATCATGTTTTCTTCGTAAACAATTATCTCAGTGTCCTCGCATAATTCTCCTATTTGGAGAAGGACGAACTCGAAAACCTTTGGCTTTTCGTCAGTTACAACACGCGGCTTCTTCGGCTTTGTTTCTGATGCTGGTTTTGTTGCCCTCAATCGCTCTTTTTTTCCTAATCGCGAGTATAAACCTTTCGAGGAAGATTGCTGAATCATCAATCGCGCCCTGTTAACGGCTGAACTCACAACACTGACATGCTGGCTAGACGAGGATTCGCATGATCGATTTCTTGCAGCCTCGGGTGTCCGTTCATTTTGTATTGCCTGCGATACACGTTCGGAAGAGGTCGACGAGCTACTATTCTGTGGTTGTTGAGTTGGCTGTTGTAATATATCGTTGATTAGGCTACTAGCCTGACTTAAACATGCAGAAAGTTCACGAAGATTGCCCTTCTCATCTCCAGCCATTTTGGGATTTGGGAATGTTGACATGTGTTTTTGTCCAGTAAAACCAGTTTCCGCGGGACAGTGCTTCCAGTTTGAAAACCCCAAATTTCTCAATTTTACATGCGCCAGATTATTAAATCAACATTGAAGACTTCCCGAAGAAATAGCGAGACACTCGCGGTTGTTGTATGTTTTTGAATTCCTGCTTAACTTAATCTTTGTAATTTTTTGCTAGAAACAAAGACAAGCCCCGTTCCGCGGCCCATGCCACCAAACGACGCCCTGCACTTCGCCCTGCTCTTCTCCCGCCCGCACTAAACGCGTGCTACATAGGCTAGCTACCACCCGTTGCAGACGGGCAAATTATGTTACTTTGTTGAATGGTTTTGTTGAACGATGAATGTTTTTTGTTGAACGTTAATCGGAATGTTTTTTGTTGAATGTTTTTTGTTGAACGTTGAATGTTTTTTGTTGAACGTTGAATGTTTTTTGTTGAATGTTTTTTTGTTGAACGTTGAATGTTTTTTTGTTGAACGTTGAATGTTTTTTGTTGAACGTTGAATGTTTTTTTGTTGAACGTTGAATTTTTTTGTTGAACGTTGAATGTTTTTTGTTGAACGTTGAATGTTTTATTGTTGAACGTTGAATTTTTTTGTTGAACGTTGAATTTTTTAGTTGAACGTTGATTTTTTTGTTGAATGCGTTGTTGAATGTTGAATTTCATTGACATTAAAGGTTGAATTCGATTGGTTGAATATTGCTACAAATGGCTTGCCATAGTTGTGGCGGTTCATGGATTCCGAAACACGAGGAAGCGTGAACTTTGAAGGGCTTATACTTCAATTTGTGCAACTATTTCGCTTGGGGGGAAGTGGATTCTAACTAAGTAAGTTATAATCTATAGATTCATGTAAAAATTATGTAGTTACACGAGGGGTGCTACGGAATTGAACATTTTCGACCCTCATCCAACGGCCTATGTGTAGCAAAGTTAAAATAGTACTCATAGGCCCTGTTCACATGAACCCGGGACAGCGTTATGTCTCGGGGCAAGCACAATTCGCGGGACAAAAATTGTCTCGGCTCCTTAATAAAAGAATAGTGCTGTTCACAACAGGTAGGCAATTTGTTTGAGCATGCGCGCAGAAAATCAATATGGCGACGTATATTAGGAGTGTTTCGTGGATTTATCTGGTTTTAAAGCTGATAAAACAACATTTTAATGAACGAAAACTTTGTAATATTTAGTGGAAAGCATTAAGCTGTGCATTCCAAAGGTTTTAAATTAAAATAAGTACTTTTGCTTTATTTTATTGCTTTTTATGCTTTGGAAACAGGCAAGCTCATATTTTTTGAAAAAATCTTATCTAATATTTTACCCATTATTTGTTTAATCTGAACAAAAATAGATAGAACACTTGGCTATATAAGTTATAAAGGTATTGTTAGATGATCTGAAAGATTTCAGTATTTCAGGTACACATTTTAACAAAGAATAAAATTAAAATATATGCATATCAAAAACAATGGTTTTATTAGAGCAACACAGAATAAGTTGTTATTTTCTATTTTTACAAAAAACAAGTTTGAAAACAGGATCTAGTCCTCCAGCTTGATGTCATATTCCATTTATTTGGATATTTGAATAAAGGAATGTGAAATAATAATTGAAACTTGACCAAAATTTGATACCAACATTGGAGTGAATAGATATACTATCACCTAAAAATAAAAGAAACCAGAACTTAAATTTATCATATAATGCTATGAAAAAATCTTAGATATTACAAGCATATAGTGAACACAATTAACAATTCAATAAAATAAGTTAAGTTATGCTACGATAAGAGGATGGCAATATATGACAACATCAAGTGTTACCATCTTCAGTGTCCAAAAAAAGTGCCGCGCGCATTTTTCGTGGTCGCATAACTGGCATTGCCACAAACCCAGGTGAAAAAGCAATTAGAAAAACCTGGTTTTGGGTGATGAGCATAGTCAAATTCTTGACTTATTTAATTTTCTAAGTTTTTCCAGGTAAACAGATCCAACATTGAAATAAGCCCCATTCGGGACCTCATAGGGTCCAAAATATTGTGTATGGACCAGATTTTTTTCAATTTTCTGTGATTTACATAACACTAGTTATAATTTAAGGCTCAACCAGTATTGTTCAAGACATATTTTCCTTCCAGAACACCTTTTCAAAATACTAACCCAAGGA